CTGGACCACAACCATCCTGTCCTGCTATCCGTGCATCAGCAGTAGGCCTGGCATCTTAAAGACCCTGTCCACAGATTCCTTTTGTCCTCATGTTCGCTGAACAAGAACTTTCTGTCGAGTTGTTACCCCAAATTTCCACCGCATCCTGGAATGGTGGCGTTTTTCGCCATACGCCAATTCCTACTGGATCTGTTTGTGAGGCGAATTTCATGGTAGATTACAGACAGCAGTAATCGCGAGAACTCACAAGAACCCGCGGATTCACGAACAATCGCGCGATAACGAGCTGTCTCTATAAAGACAGACACCATAGACATATAAGCAGTAGATTGTGTCCTTCCAGAGGAGGAAATCTACTTCTAGACTTATAAAATCAGCATCTCCTCATCCATTCTTCATGTATCAGAGGAATGTCCACAGCCTTCAAACCTGAGCTCAGAAGGTTTAGGACTAACTTTAAAGAGCGTAACTCTTCAGGTCAAATTCCGGCTGGTGTGTGAGTGGAAGAGGTCAGAGCTGAAACATCACTGAGTGAACTTTCAACTTTAGATGCTTGATAGATAAGAACTGAAGGTCCTAAAGGAGGATCTGCTTTGGACCACTTCAGGAAACAAACACTCTCCAAGAATGACCTGAACTTGCTGTCTGCTAGTTCCTACTGGATCTGTTTGTGAGGCGAATTTTGTGGCAGATTATGGACAGCAGGAATCGCAAGAACTCACAAGAACCTGTGGATAATGAGTTGTCTCTATAAAGACAAACACATAGACATATAAGCAGTAGATTGTGTCCTTCCAGAGGAGGAAATCTACTTCTAGACTTCTAGAATCAGCATCTCTTCATCCATGGTGTCATCGGGGTGAAATGACGTCTAAAAACCTTTCACTTGTTCGACTCCGCCTGTTTGCATGGTGTGAAGTACGATCCGCTGAAACACGGGGTGTTTTATTTTGAAAAGAAGCCGGATGTTTATCAGCAGAGGAACAGAAAAAAGCCGGTGGAAATCGACACGTTAACTTGAATGGTTACGATCAGCTATGATCGGAGGATACAACCTGTCTGTAGACGTTCAGGCTGTGGTGGAAATTGGGGGTCAGGGGTGTGTTTGGATTAGGCCATATTCTCTACAAAATTAGAAAAACATGAACACATCTGTTCAGCGTGATTTTGTTTGTATGTGAGAAGGTCCTGGGAACCAGCTGATCTGGAGCTCCAGGGTCAGAGGGGGCTGATCTGCTGAGCTCTACCCAGGGAAGGGAGCAGGTCACTGGGTTCGGAGAGGAGGGTGAGCCCCTGGTTCTGTGTGGAGCTCCGATCTGAAACTGAATAAATGTGCCGACTCAACAATTGTTAAAGGAAGAGAGCACCAGTCACACTCCTCAGTCTGATCTTGCCGCTGTGCCGTGACCTTTCAATTCCTCTCGCCATGAAAAAGAAAACAGGTTTCCTCAATCACAAAGAAGAAGAAAAAAAAGAAAACCTGTCTTTCTTCTTCTTCTCTTTCTTCCTTTTCTTCTTTAGCTCAGAGCTGTTTTCAACTTTTGGCGTTTTTTTCCAAATTAGTTCTCATCTTGCAAATGAGCTGATGGCGTTCTCTGCGGGAGGGGGTGGGGCAGTTCTAAAAAGAGAATTAAAGAGGAGTCTTTTCCCTGCAGGGCTGAGCGAAGGTACACATGGTATTATTAGAAATGATTCAGTCAAATATGTGGATTCACACTTGCTCTGTTTGGACTCTATAATCTGCTCTGAGGGAGCACCAGGATCAGCCTGAGGAGGTGCCGCACAAACAAAATGCCATCCAGAGAGTCTGGGCTTAAAGTTCCAGGAAAAAAAACTGAGAGACGCAGGTTCTCCTGGGTCACCTCTGCAAGTTCTGGTCTGTCCACAGATTGACTTTTCTTTATTTGGAGAATTTTCTGTTTGAGAACAACGAGGTTTCTCTGTCAGCCGGCTTCAAACAGAATATCTCTAAAGTCAACTATCCAATCAGCACGCAGCGTTTCATATGTGGACATCAGAGAAACAAACGACTGCGACGACCAGAGGAATGTGTTTGTGTGTTTGTTTTTGTGTCTGTGTGTGTCCACTCGGCCCACTGACAGAGACAGAGTGGAGATGTAATTAAAGTTGGAGTGTGTGTGTGTGTGTGTGTGTGTTTGGTCTTGTGCAATTATGTCGACACCTCCAGCTACTGTTGTCATGTCTCTGTGCAGCAACATTTCTGATGCGTGTGTGTTTGTTTTTGTGTGTGTGTGTGTGTGTTTGTTTTTGTGTGTGTGTGTGAGTTACTTGACGAACTTTTTGAAGCTGCAGTTTTTCTCTTGTTTCTCTCTTCTCTGTTTCGATGGAGTTCGCCTTTTTTCGTCCCTCGTCTTCACTCGCTGAAACAAAAACCTGTTTAATCAGTTTCAGTCGAAATCTGTTCCTTTTAAAGCGATATTTCACGATTTCTAGTCCTGGGCTTTTTGTATTGTAAAGGCATGGTTGACGATTTGAAAGATTGGTAATTATTATAAACCTTGTTTCTATGGCGATCATAGTCCTATAGTGCGATCTCCACATAACTAAAAAGAAAAAATAAGGAAAAAGTCGGTTCACCCTCGCAGGTGCAGGGCTGCAAAAACATTGATCAATGGCAGCCATCCATCCCAGACGCAGGAGTCCAGCCTCCTTCGCCTCTGATTGGCTAGAAAAGTTGGAAACGTTATCACATGCTCAAGTCAAATGCGGGCTGTCGGCTCTGTACATCAAACAGAACATTATCGCAATTTTGAATCTCCGAACCCTAACCTGACAGACGATGACGATTTACAGCCTTAAGGAATAACCAATGGGAGCCCAGCACTTTTAGCCAATCATAGGCAAACGAGGGCAGGACCTTCTTCTACCATCTTACAAAAAAAAGTTTGTGTCCCGGACAGCTTCTATTAGTCAATCACCTGCTCCGCCTCTCCATCCAATCACGGTAGCTGTCCAGGCAGCTGCAGACGGTGCTAGCGAGCAGAGCTGGCGTTTACTGCCGCTAGTCACTAGAAATCCGATATGGTCAATCCTATTTGAAGCTAGCATAGGATCTTCTGCCAGCTGGCTTCTTGCTCTGCCAGAGGGGTTGTGTCGTGGGGAGGGCGATACAGGTTTGGGGGGGAGTAATCGTAGAGCACAGAGGGGAGAGGTTTGTGTGTGGGGGGTGGGACGTTTTTTTTGTCAACCATGGCTTTAATCTAAAACTAAAAATTAAAAAAGTCTCGTTAAAGATGGAAAACTTTCTGTTTCCTGTTTTTAATCTTTCCTGACGAGTTTCGCAGCTCATTCGTCTTCTCTCCTCTGTCTGTTCCCATGTTTCCTTGCTCTGCTGTCGATGTGACCTCTGACCCCTGAGATATTTTGGATGTTTGCGCATCAACCCCGATCTCCCTGATGGTTTTAAAAAAACAATCACAGACCAGATAAAGATGGTGTTTCTTAAACACAGATGTTTTTAAAGCAAACATCTGGGTTTCTCCTCTGATACTTTCAACAACAACATTTTTTAACAGAAGGACAAATATAAGAACACAAAGATTCTGCAGAGGGGGCACTACTGAGCGAAAAAAATGAGAAATGATTGAAGACATGCAGAGACGAGGAAAAAGAAATGTGGGATGAGGATGAATTGTGCTAATTAGAGCAGAAAGGCTGTAATTGCAGTCGGCTCATTACTAAAGACACAGACACACACACACACGCACACACACACACACTGTCACTCAGCACCAATTTTCTCTCTTGTTAGAGTCAGACTGTCAGACAACAGCAGGTGAAAAACCTCAGAGTGTGTGTGTGTGTGTGTGTGTGTGTGTGTGTGTGTGTGTGTGTGTGTGTGTGTGTGTGTGTGTGTGTGTGTGTGTGTGTGTGTGTGTGTTTGACAGACATTTAAAAGGACCATAATCAGCAGCTTTGGTTGAACAAAGGGACGGTTTGAAAAAGAGCAGCCTGACTGTTGTGTGTTAATCACTGCTGACAGAAAAGGTCAGAGGGTTAACCTCAGATCTCCACAAAAGATCCTGGATCTGAACTGAAGTACCTCCACCTGACCAGGTACCCTAGAACTAAATTAAGACCTGGTTCCTGTGGTCTAAAACAGTGTTGCCAACTCCTCATTAAGGAAAGTAGCTATTGACTGTCCTAAAAGTGCTAAATGACATCATCCCCTAATTTGCATAATTTACCAAATTGTAATGGATGCTGTAAGGGAGAGGAACAACAGAGACAAAAAGTGAGAAAAACAAATATGTTTAGAACTACAAATTAACTTTCTTCTGTCGAGTCTTGTTTTTTTTAAATGTCACAATACCAACTCTCCTCCTTTAACCGGGAAAAATGACCCAATCGAGACAATTTGGCGGAGTTACTGAGGTTTATTTATTTATTTATTGTTTTTTTATTTTATTTTTTTAATGACCCCAGTTTTTGGACACTTGAGGTCCTGTGCAGGAAGGACAGCAAATTGCAGAGAAACAATTAGAATTATGTTATAATGACTGCGTACCAGAGTTCGCACCATGAAGAATCAACTTATTGCAACATTACATCGAACCAACCTTGTATTTCTGCTTTAGGCTCTCCCATTTCTTTTTTACAAAGGCTAGGGTTACCCTTCCCTCCAGCCCTTTTTCTGCAATGAATGTCCTGGCAGGAATTTTTACAGAACGTTTCAACAATAGCTGCCATATTTTGCTAGTGTTTACGATGGAGTGATGATGGATGACTTAATTGAGGCAATTTGGCCAAGTTAGTGAGGTTTATTTTTTTTGGTTGTTTTTTAAAAAAAAATTTAATATATATATTTTTTTATGAAGTTTCTTGAAGTTTTGTTTGGTTTCAAACAATAACAAATCAGAGTAAAACATTAACATTTTAACAATAACATTTTAAACTAACTACAGCAACGAAGTCACTTACACTTGTGTAAAAGAAAGTTTTCACAGCATCTGTGTCTCTCTGTACGTCAGAAACTTTGAGTCAAATCTTTGTTTTTTTCCCTCACAGTGAACTCCATCTTTATAAGAATATTAAAGAGTTGTAGTTTCACCATTAAAGTCTGTCCCTGTCCCCATCAACACTGTCACCAACAGGAACCCGCTCTTCTTTCCTTCCCTCCAGTGTTTCTCCTCTCAGATGTTTAAAGATATCCAGCCCTCTTCAGATCAGCCGGCGGCCTCTTTGGGTCGACCCCCCTGCCGTGGACCCGGCCTCGGTTAAAGATAATTGGGTTGAAGCTCAGCGGGAGTTTAATGAGAGCGGGAGTTCCTCCTGGAGCCACACTGGGCCCCCCACGAGTCCTGGTTTTGGTCTTTTCTTCTCACTCATCCTCTCTCTGTTTCATCTGTCTCTGTTTTTCTCTCTTTCCTTCCTCCGTCATTTAAACCGCACTTTAACACACCTGTAGCCCCTGGTTCTGATCCAATGATGGCTCTGTTTCCACTTTGCATTATGGGAGGTCAGCTCCAAGAAGCCATTAGACATTGAGGAGTCAGCCTTCTAACAAATGATCTCAGTAAAATCGAACCTCTGCGCTAAACTCAGATGTTTACCAAACTTCAGTTTTCCTCGTTGCTTGTGTCCAAACCTGCAGTTTTAACAGGATCTGTTCTTTGTGCTTAAAAAGTCAAATGCATGTTTAAAAAAATGATGAAATGCACATTTTTCTTCACTTCTCCTCCTTCTCCTTCTCTGTCATTAAGACCAGCATGTGTCTGCCTCTCCTTCACATTTATCTCTCAGGACTGTAAAACGATCAGAGGATTGGAGTCGACCTGCAGATGGGAGATGAAAAGAGGGTTTTTATCGGAGTCTGAACTGTCACAGACGAGTTCACAGATAAAAAGGATCTGGGTGTGCAGGGTTAACAGGACCTGGACTCTACAAAGAGAGCAGCGTGTGAACCTGTTTGTGTAGGACAGAAAGAGTCCAGAGTGAAGATGTGAGTGCTCTGCTCTCATATTATAAAAATCAGCTTTGTCAACATTTTCTGATCCAGTATCTTTGTTCCTGTGGACCACAGATGAAGTCAGACTCATCTATTTGGGTCTCCAGCTCCAAATTGTGATATATCTGCATATTTCTGGTCTTTTTCGGCTTTTGCTGCACTTCTCTCTCCTCCCACCTGCACAAAAACACAACACTTACAAGAGGAAATACGGCTCTTAAAATATCAGGCTTTAACTGAAGTAGGAGCCAGCTGAGGTGATGATGATGATGAGGAGGAGGAGGCGGAGGAGCATCAGAGGAGTTCAGGAGGTTAAACACAGTTATCTGACAAAAAATAAAAGCCTGCATGTTCAGATCCTCCACCGTGAAACTGCAGCCAATATGTTATCTTATCAGCGGCTCTTCTTTGTTTCTGCCTCCTCCTCCTCCTCCTCCTCTTCGTCTCTCTGGGAGTTTCAGACGCTGCAGCAGATCTTCCGCCTGACCTTGACTTTGAACATGAAATCGCTGCCAGACTGCAGAGAGTACGGAGGTCAGTGTGAAGGATGGAGAGAAAAAAAAAGACCTTTGATTTTAAACATTAAAAATATTTGGAAAATGGAAGACACAAACAAGGAAAAAAAAACAAAAAACTGAAAACAAAGAAAAATGAACAAAAAAGTGTGTTAAATGTCAAATTAAATAACTGCATGTTACTGATCTTTGCAGGAGAAGATGAGAGTTAAAGAGCTTGGACCTGGTCTTCGCAGGAGAAGATGAAGGTTAAAGAGCTTGGACCTGATCTTTGTAGAAGAAGATGAGAGTTAAAGAGTGTCGACCTGGTCTTTGCAGGAGAAGATGAAGGTTAAACAGCGTGGGCCTAATCTTTGCAGAAGATAAGGGGTAAAGAGCTTGGACCTGATCCTTGCAGGAGAAAGAGTTTGGGAAGAGTTTGGACCTAATGTTTGCAGGATAAGATGCGGGTCAAAGAGCTTGGACCTGATGTTTGCAGGATAAGATGAGGGTTAAAGAGCTTGGGCTGATCTTTGCACAAGAAGATGAAAGTTAAAGAGCTTTGACCTGATCTTTGCAGGAGTAGATGAGGGTCTAAGTGCTTGGACCTGATCTTTGCAGGAGAGGATTAGTGTTAAAGAGCTTTGACCTGATCTTTGCAGGAAAAGATAAGATTTAAGAAGCTTGGACCTGACCTTTGCAGGAAGAGATGAGGTTAAGATACATTGACCTGATCTTTGCAGGAGAAGACGACAGTCCAAGACCTTGGTACTGATCTTTGCAGGGGAAGATGAGAGTTAAAGAGCTTGGACCTGATCTTTACAGGAAAAGATGAGAATTTAAGAGCTTAGACCTGATCTTTGCCAGAGAAGATGAGAGTAAAAGAGCTTGGACACGATCTTTGTCGGAGAAAATAAGGGTTAAGGAGCTTAGACCTGATCTTTGCAGAAGAAGATGAGAGTTAAAGAGCTTGTGCCTGATCTTTGCAGGAGAAGATGAGGGTTAAAGAGATTGGACTTGATCTTTGCAAGGGGACATGAGAGTTACAGAGCTTGGAACTGATTTTTGCAGGAGAAGATGATAGTATAAGAGCTTGACCTGATCTTTGCAGTAGAAGATGAGGGTGTAAACTTTGTCCTGATCTTTGCAGGAGAAGATGAGGGTCAAAAACTTTGAACTGATCTTTGCAGGAGAAGATGAGTGTCAAAGAGTTTGGACCTGATCTTTGTAGAAGAAGGTAAGGGTTAAAGAGCTTGAAACTGATCTTTGCAGGAGAACTTGAGAGTTAAGGAGCTTGGACCCAATCTTTGCAGGAGAAAATGCAGGGTTAGAGAGCATGGACCTGGTCTTTGCAGGAGAAGATAAAGGTTAAAGAGCTTAGACCTAATCTTTGCAGGATAAGGTGAGAGTAAAAGAGCTTGGACCTGGTCTTTGCAGGAGTGAATGAAGGTTAAAGAACATGGACCTGATCTTTGCAGGGGAAGGTGAGAGTTTAAGAGTTTGGACCTGATATTTGCAGAAGAAGATGAGAGTTAAAGAGTTTGGACCTAATCTTTGCAGGATAAGGTGAGAGTAAAAGAGCTTGGACCTGGTCTTTGCAAGAGAAGATTAGGGTAAAAGACCTTTGACCTGATCGTTGCAGGAAAATATAAGACCTTAAAAGCTTGGACCTGATCTTTGCAGGAAAAGATGAGGGTTAAAGAGTTTGGACCTGATCTTTGCAGGAGAAGATGAGAGTTATAGAGCTTGAACCTGATCTTTGCAGGGGAAGGTGAGAGTTAAAGAGTTTGGACCTGATCTTTGCAGGAAAAGATGAGGGTTAAAGAGCTTAAACCTAATCTTTGCAGACGGTGAGAAATAAACAGTTTTGACCTGATTTTTGCATGGGAATGTGAGAGTTAAAGAGCTTTGACCTGATCTTTGCAGGAGAAAATAAGGGTTAAAGAGTTTGGACTTGATCTTTGCAGGAGAGGATGTAAGTGAAAGAGCCTGGACCTGATTTTTGCAGGAGAAGAAGAGAGTCCAAGACCTCGGACCTGATCTTTGCAGGAGAAGACAACAGTCCAAGAGCTTGGACCTGATCTTTGCAGGAGAGGATAAGGGTTTAAGAGCTTGGACCTGATCTTTGCAGGAGAAGATGAAGGTCAAAGAGCTGGACCTGATCTTTGCAAGAAAAGATGAGGGTTAAAGAGCTTGGACCTGATATTTGCAGGAGAAGATGAGAGTAAAAGAGCTTGGACACAATCTTTGTTTGAGAAAATAAGGGTTAAAGAGCTTAGACCTGATCCTTGCAGGGGAGGATGTAAGTTAAAGAGCCGGGTCTTGATCTTTGCAGGAGAAGATGAGAGTCCAAGACCTTGGACCTGCTTCAATAAGAGGACTTGGCTTATTGTGCAGAGTTATGCTAGTACTTGCTACATCTTGAACTTCCTCTTTTCCTGAAGTCATGTTTCGATCAAACTCAGGATGGATTGACCAATCGTAAAAGTCTTCTCAGAAATAAGAAATAAGAGAGAAATTAAAGGTATCCATGTTGCTCTATAAGTTTTAATTTAAATATATTAAAATAAATAAATAAAAATAACAATAATAAAACTAAATAAACAAATTTAAATTGTCAGGATAAAAACACATAGTTAAAACATGCAGATCTTTTATCAGCTGCAGGACTCACTTCTTTGTTTCTCTGTTTCTGTTAAAAGTTTCTCCTTCTCCTTCTCGGTGTGTTCTTTTCCTCACAGTTTTAATGAAAATGTAAAGGAAAATGAAAGTCTGATTCCTGGCCTCTCACAGTCCACTGACTGTTTGCAGACGATCAATAAAAGCTAATTTTCCTTTTCCTCTGAACTTCCTGTTAACATCCTTCCTCCTCTTCTCTTCATCGCTTTGCGGCACGATTTTATTGGATTACTTGGATTATTCGGTGGGAGGTGTAGCAGCAGCTGTAGTTCACACTCCTCGACTCTGAGGATGTTAAAACGTGACAGTTTCTGCCGTCACGCCGAGAGAATCACAGCTTTTCACTCCAGGGGTGAAACCAGGATCATGTGCAGAGAGGAGATGGTTCAGAGGAGAATCTGAGAGGAAGGCTTTAAACTCCATCATGGCAAGGATTTAACCATCAGACTAACGTAACCACAGAAAAAATATGACTCAGCTGATTGGTCAGTTTGTCCTTAGGCCCCGTCTAAGGGGTCAGCTGAGTGGGATCCAGCCTGGTCGGTTCCTGAAGGATCATGAACCGTCAATAAACAAACACACAGTTATTGACATGATGGACTGGTCACACAATATCGCTCCTTGCTGGTCTGGATGTTCATCTGTTAATAGACCAGCTTCTGTCTAAATTGGAATAAACCCTCAGTGCAGTTTGACTCATAAATAGACGTGTGTGTGTGTGTGTGTGTGTGTGTGTGTGTGTGTGTGTGTGTGTGTGTGTGTGTGTGTCTTTATGCAGTGATGGAATGAAGTTGTTTTTGATTGGACAAGATCACCACTGCAGATTTTTCTCCCAAAACCAGTCAAACCCGTTTCTGAGATTAATCAGAATATTTTGTCTTCCTGGATGAGGATGTATCAGTGTGTGTGTGTGTGTGTGTGTGTGTGTGTGTGTGTGTGTGTGTGTGTGTGTGTCTTTAATGCCTGAGTCTCGTGTGTCTTTAATGCCTGAGTCTCTCTAGAATAATCTCCTCACATCCTCTGACAGATGATGAAGGCGAGGATGAGCAGCACGCAACGACAGGTTTCCTTTCAGACAGGAAGCTCATCATCAGCATTCAGATTTACGAGCAGCGCCTCCATAAAGGCTGTTTGATTAGCCGCGGCGCCGGAGGATGAGGCTCAGGTGTGCGGAGAGTACGAGTGATGAATGTGCAGGAATCTGGATGGAGGATGCCGTCAGATCACGACTTCACACATCTCAGTGTTTCTGAGCCGCACCAATCTGCTTCCAGCGCCTGTTATCTCGTGCACGTACCGGTTCCGCGAAAAAAAATAATATTTGGTTTAACCAGTTCCTGTTTGTAGAAAAATGAGAGTGAACATGAGGGACGATGGAGAGTTTTGTCAACTAGAATCTCAAGAGGCGGATAAAGTTCTCTGTGGACATGAACTTAATCTGCCTGCAGGGGACGTGAACACGAGACCGCGTCAGATTTCCGCCAATAGGATAACTCAATTTCCCCCGCATCTTGAAAGTCTACTAAAAGGTCGTATCCACCGATTGTAGCTGATCGTAACCATTCAAGTTAACATGTCAATTTTCACTGGCTTCTTTCAGTTCCTGCTGCGGATCGCCGGACTTCTAAGCTAATCGCAAGAGTTCTATTTTTTCCGGACGCCGGAGCATGTCGGATAAATTCACCACGGATTAACCCATGCTGGAAAGGAAGTCGTATTTCACACCATGCAAACGGGCGGAGACGAACAAGTGAAAGGTTTTTAGACACCATTTCATCCTGATGACACCATGGATGAGGAGATGCTGATTCTAGAAGTCTAAAAGTAGATTTCCTCCTCTGGAAGGACACAATCTACTGCTTATACAGTGCATCCGGAAAGTATTCATACCACTTCACTTTTTCAGCATTTTGTTATGTTACAGCCTTATTCCAAAACAGATTAAATTCCTTTTTTCCCTCAAAAATTCGACACAAAATACTCCATAATGACAAAGCAAAAACTTTTTTTAGAACATTTTTCAAATTTATTAAAAATAAAACGTACTCTGACGTGCTCTTTCAGCTGTGGGATCTTATATAAACAGGTGTGGCCTCCCAAATCATGTCCAATCAGCTGAATTTGCCACAGGTGGACTGCAATCAAGTAAGAGGAACATTTCAAGGCTGATCAGTGGAAACAGGATGCACCGGAGCTCAATTTTGAGTTTTATAGCAAAGGGTGTGAATGCTTATGCATATGCAACAGTTGAGTGTCTTATTTTTTATAAATTTGCAAAATGTTCTAAAAAAAGTTTTTCGCTTTGTCATCATGGGGTATTTTGTGTCGAATATTTGAGGGAAAAGGGGAATTTAATCCATTTTGGAATACGGCTGTAACATAACAAAATGTGGAAAAAGTGAAGTGGTATGAATACTTTCCGGATGCACTGTATATCTATGTGGCAATCTTTATAGAAACAACTTGTTATTGCACGATTGCACATGAATCCGCGTGTTCTTGTGAGTTCTAGCGATTACCGCTGTCCGTAATCTGCCACGAAATTTGCCTCACAAATGGATCAAGTAGGAATTGGGAGATGGCAAAAATCGCTGCCGTTCCGTATGCAGTGGAAATTCGGGGTAACATCTCAACAGAAATTTCCTGTTTTCAGCGAACAGGAGGACAAAAGGAATCTGTGGACAGGGTCTTAAAGATGTTTTAGCCGGATCTCCTGCTGGTTCACAGATTGCAGGACAGGATGGTTGTGGTCCAGAAGCTCCTCAGGTTGCTCTCACACCTGTGTCCATCACCTGTCATTATTCCTCCTCTCTTAAACAGATGCCAACAGAGTGCCAGAGGAGAATCCAGTCCGACTCTGTGATCGGGTTTACCTGGTGTTGCTTCGGCTGCTGAGAAATTATAACTCAGTACGTTTACATGACACTCAAGAAAACTGAATTATCGCCTTATTCCGATCAAGACTGGGGAGTTAAAGTGCATGAAAAAACCTTATTGCAGAAAAAGTAGCATCCATCATGTAGGACAAAAACAACACTGTACGATGCTCCATCTTCTTGCTCCAAAATGCTCAGCAGCAGTTGTAGACACGTCTGAAGTCTGGCACAGACCTGCTGTTGTTGTTGACGGTTGTATGGGATCGGAAACAGCTGAAAAGACCCATATCGCCCCCTAGTTTTGGGGAGGAGGACTCGTTCATTATGAGCTTAGTCCGATTAAGATGTACATGTAAATGCACTGAGTGTCTCCTTGTAGTCTGGATTCAGGGGGCGGACCAGGAAACAAAGCCATGATGGGGCTGAAGATGGAGCTGCGGGTTTGATTCCTTTGCAGGTGTTTACTCCACGCTGATGAAGCTGTGGGAAGAACGCTCCATCACCACCTCACCATCTTCCTCACCATCTTCGTCCTGATTTGAACCGCAGACAGATCGAGCTGTAATCCTCTCAGATGATTGTGTTTGTTCAGACTGGTGTCTGGCAAACAGCCCGCAATAACCTCTAACCTGCAATTTCATCAGCGATGGAGCGAGCGAGCAAGGGAGGGGTGTAGAAATGGAGATGTTACAGTGTGTGTGTGTGTGTTATGACTAATATAAATCTACTGCCAATAAAACAAACAGAATCAGAAAACAGTCGATTAAAATCTGAAACAGAGAAGAGAGAAAACACCGACCTTCAGATATGCTTCTCTGATGGACCCCGTTCACTTCCTGTTTACTTCGTCACTTCCTGTATACTGATCTGACCTTAGAGCTTCTCCTGTGACCCCTGCAGCTGCACCCATGGATGAAGGTCAGGATCAGTCTGAGACCTCTCCGAGGTTTCTCCAAAACAGCAAATTTAACCCGTCAGCAAACTGAGGCGAAAACCTGCAGCTCCATCTTCTGTATAGGTCATGACGTCTTAAAGTAGACGGCCTCATAAATCTGATAAAGGAGTAAGCTGCGGCACCAATGACCCCATACATCACTGAAAGGTCAGCGGTCTGAAGGCGTGGAAGCTATCAGGTTTTTCAGAAAGATCTACAACAGGGTGTGAGTAATGAGAGAAACACCTGCCGACAAAAAGAGACACATTAGTATGGAGGTGAGACCAGCAGAGACCTTTACAGGGATGGTATGAACAGGGGGATGTTCAAGGTCTCCAGGACAAAAACTGTTTTCACAGTGAGAGGGAAGATCTAAACATGTCTCATAAAGCTTATTCTGATGTCTGTTTGATCAGGTCCAAGCTCTATGACTCTTTTCTTCTCTTGCAAAGATCAGGTCCAAGCTCTTTCACCCTCATCTTCTCCTGCAAAGATCAGGTCCAAGCTCTTTAACCATCATCTTCTCCTGCAAAGATTAGGTCCAAGCTCTTTAACTCTCATCTTCACCTGCAAAGATCAGGTCCAACCTTCTTTAACTCTCATCTTTTCCTACAAAGATCAGGTCCAAGCTCTTAAACTCTCAGCTTCTCCTGCAAAGATCAGGTCCAAGCTCTTTAACTCTCAGCTTCTATTGTTCCCTTGATGGTAGTGTCCAATAAGAGGCAACCAAAGATCAACAAGAGACGAGAAAGTTCCTAGCTTGTCTGCCAAATAAGAAATAATGGTCCTCAATGTTTAGAAACAAGCAAAGAAGAGATTATGAGCATTATGATGTGGTCCTCAGTCTCATCCCAGACAGGAACTGCTTCAAGGAGTGGCATAAACAACTGTAAATAGTAAAAAAAAAAAAAAAACACCTGAAAAAATTAGTGTAAATACATAAATAGTTTCTGTTGTGTGTTTGTTCCAGACCCAGTATTTCTTCTCCTGATAGCCAAGACTTGAGAGAATGATGTGCAGGTGAGAAAAGGCTTGGTCACTGCAGATTTATGTGTTTTTTGAGTAAAGTACTGTTGGGATCAATTTCCATTTGACTTTGATGGTACTGAATCTACTGTCACATTCATTTTACATCATTTTTGCACCCATAAACTGCCAGCTGAGGTTGTCCTGAAAAAAAAAGATGTGTATATATTTGCTGTGCTTGGGATCTAGTTGATACATAGATTTTTACAAAAAAAAACAAAAATAGCAAAATATAGCTGGGAGTTCTAAGGGTTAATGGACCACAGCTTTATGAGAACTGAGGCCCTGTGGAGTCCAGTGGGTTATTGTCCTCACTCCTCACACAGATATATATATATATATTCACAGTTCCTCTGAGTTTGCAGGTCTACAAAGTCCCCGACTTCATCGACCCTCAGTCCACCTCCACAGACCACGCACTCGTCCCCATTAGCGTTAAGAAAAGGTTCATGATCCAAACTGGAAACAATCGGGTCCTTCAGCAGAATTACTGCAGAGAGAGTTCAAACAGGAATATTACATACATCATTTATGAGCCGCTAGACCCGCTCCCTCGCTCTCTCTCTCTCTCTGTTTGTAATAAGCTCCAGTTATCCTTCCAGCTATATTGTTTCTCTCTCTCTGCAGTCCTTTTCCAAACAGAGCGTCTAACTGTGGATTCAGTCTGCATACAGAGGAAGGGGGGGGTAAAGTATCAGGCCTGAACCGCCCCTTTAATTTCTGACAAGACATTTACTGTGTTGTGGTCGTTTCTAACACCAAGTCCACCTCTCATGGTTATCAGGACCCCAGGACCGGTGTTCTGTAAATCCATCCTACCTGTTGAGATGTCCTACCAGTCGACGGCATCACATCACTCCAATTTTAGCCACTGGCTTCCTGTCAGTTTTAGAATTGATTTTAAGATTTTATTGATTACTTTTAAAGCACTCAAAGGACTTGCTCTGAGCTACATTTCAGAGCTTTAATACAGCAGCCTCAGATCCTCCGGCGAAGGCCTCCTGGTCATTCCAAAGTCGAGGCTCAAACCTAAAGGTGATAGATCTTTCGCCATCAGAGCTCCTCAACTTTGGAACGACCTGCCAAAGGAGATGAGGCGTGCAGAGACAGTCGCTTTTTTAAGTCAAATTTAAAAACTCACTTTTACAGACTAGCTTTTATGTGATGACATCTCTTTTTTTTTTTTTCTTTTTTACCTTTTTATCTCATTTTGACCTACTGTCTTTTTAGCCTTTGTTTTACTTATAATCTTTTCTTATTTAACTTTTTAGTCCTTTTATTGATTTTATTGTTTTTTTTTTCTTCTGCTCATTTTTGTTATTCCATTTTATCATTAATAGTATCATCATTATTATTTAATCATGATTTTATTATTATTTACTATCCTGTTTCCTGCTTTCTACCCCCTTTTTTTACATTTTGAAAACGCTTTTCTGGTCCGAGTTTGATCAGTCGTTTTCCCTGTCGGATGAAGAGCAGTAGCCTACAGTTCAAAGTATACTGTAGATATCTACAGTATATATACATATTTTTTATAACTTTATGAAAAAAAATTAAAATCTTATAATTAATCGGTAATCTGAATTTTTTTCTCCCCTAAAAATAGGTATCAGCATCGGCCCCAAAAAATCCATATGGGTCGGGCCGTAGTATGTATGTACTCTCACGCAGTATAAAAGGGTTCCTTGTGTACAAACAATACTAGGTGCGCGTGCAACCATGGCGCAAAAGCCTGCTTCAGTATGAACTGATATCAATGAAGATGGCGTATTGTTTGCTAGTTCAGACACAATTGCAATAAAATGTCATTTCACTGAAAAATCGCTTTGAAAAACACTTGCTGGAATATCCATGAATTTCACTCAAGGTTGTGATGTTGTTTTAGATGTTTCTAATATCAGGAGCACGGTCATAATGTTTGCTGATCGTTTGTTTTGCTGATTTGTACAGTTTACAGCGCAACAGCTCCTTGTCATTTTCTTTGACTCTGCTAGTAAACAAATAAGAAATGTCATGCTTTCTGCCCCAAGGCTGCGCGCTCATACCTGCGATGATGTTGCACAGAAACCCGTCTCAAAGTGCAGCTAAATGAGTGAATTTAACCAACTGTTATAAACTATTGCATCGCCCTGTTTGGGCTAGCGCTTTGACATGTGGCGCAGAAATGAGCATTAATATTATGGTAGGAAGTTTCAGCAGGTGGAAAACCCCCATCAAATTATGTCTCTACACAGATATATGCTGCTGGGACGTTGTGACAGTCTTTCTCGTTGCCCAGAAGTGGAGTAGATCCTCGGTTGGGGGTATTAAAGGATCTGTACTTCTCGACTTCATCTTTGTCGTCTGCAGTGACATTACTCATCAACCTCTCCAACATACGTCTGTCCAGCATATATCTATGTGGAAGCATAATCTGGTGGCGCATTTCACCCCCCGAAATGTCCTACAAGCATAGATCTATGTGGAAGCACATTCTGACTTCCTGCATAAATCTACGTTTTATTAATATTTACGAGGTCAGCCGTGTTTTAGCATCCTATTTCCATGAACAAAGACATCGAAATAAAAAAAATGAAAATAAACAAAACAGGAAGCACACGGTAGGATTTTAAATCAAAAAGACCTCCTCCTGGATCCTGTCCGATCCTTTAAAGGAGACTTTGTGTGTTTGTTCCCTTCTGACAGTACAAGTCCCCCTTAGTGTCTAAACACAAACACACCTACACATACATTGTTGCCAGTACATCTATCTGCTCTCTCTCTCTGGCTGACTTCCTCGCCTCATCTTCATTCTTCTTCTCCCTCTTGAGGCTGGAGGACATGACCAATGAGAGACATTCATTCTCCCACAGCATGTGTGTGTGTGTGTGTGTGTGTGTGTGTGTGTGTGTGTGTGTGTGTGTGAGTGTCTGCCTGTGTGTGTTTACCCCTGCAGTGGTGTGTGTGTGTGTGTGTGCGTGTTTGTGTGTGTGTGTGTGTGTGCTGCTAGAGGAGCATTTGGTTGACTGATCTTAATAACTTTGCTATCACACAAAAGCACAGATCATACACAGCTATCTATCACACACTGCAGGGTGTGTGTGTGTGTGTGTGTGTGTGTGTGTGTGTGTTGTATGGACACACACCATTTGTCTACACTCTATGGGGAGTGTTCTGGTCTCATGGGAATGCTGTCTGCCCCTGAAATCATACAAACATCCATCAGGTTCCTGCACACACACACACACACACACACACACACACACACACACACACGCACACAAACACACGAACACACAGACCTGGCCCTGCCTGAGACAATGTTGAACATCAGACTCCCCGCAGTGACCCCTGTAGGTGGTGAACAACTATTTAGCCCGACCTTGTCTAACCAGAGTGTGAACATCAACCTCTCTGGCCTCTCATTAGTCGATTTTCCAGTTCCAGTGCGAGGCCACACCTCCGAAAAACAACCTCCAAATACATAAAAAATGAAATAAAATTTTTCAACAGATTTTCAACCTTTGAGAAAATACTGGTTTAACTCTCAAGAGTCCTCTGACTGCCCTCCTCTCTGCTAGATCTTCTCCCCTAGATCCTGTCTTCTCTGACTTCCCTCCTCTCTCCTGGATCCTTTCTCCTAGATGCTCTCTCTTCTATTTTCCCTCCTCTTTTCAAGATCCTCTCTCCTAGATCCTCCTTCCTAGATCCTTTCTCATCTGATTTCCCTCCTGTCTTCTAGATCCTCTCTCCTAGATCCTGTCTCCTCCAACTTCCCTACTGTCTCCAAGATTCTCTCTCCTAGATACTTTCTCCGCCGACTTCCCTACTGGCTCCTTAATCCTTTCTTCTAGATCCTATCTCCTCTGATTTACCTCCTCTCTCCTAGATCCTCTCTCCGAGAGCCTGTCTCCTCCGACTTCCCTCCTCTCTCCCAGATCCTCTCTCCTAGATCCTGTCTCCTCCGACTTCCCTCCTCTCTCCGAGATCCTTTCTCCTAGACCCTCTCTCCTCTGATTTTGCTCCTGTCTCCTAGATCCTTTCTCTTCTGGATTCCCTCCTCTCTCCTCGATCCTCTATTCTAGATCCTGTCTCCTTGATCCTCTTTCCTAGATCCTTTCTCCTCTGATTTTCCTCCTCTCTCCTAGGTCCTCTCTCCTAGATCTTCTCTCCTAGATCCTGTCTCCTCCAACTTCCCTCCTCTCTCTTAGATCCTGTCTCCTCTGATTTTCATTCTCTCTCCTAGATCCTCCTTCCTAGATCCTGTCTCCTCTGATTTCCCACCTCTCTCCTCCTCTATTCCAGATCCTGTCTCCTTGATCATCTTTTCTCGATCCTTTCTTTTCTGATTTCCCTCCTGGCTTCTAGATCCTCTCTCCAAGATCCTGTCTCCTAGATCCTCCCTCCTCTAATTTCCCTACTCTCTCCTACATCCTTTCTCCTTGATCCTGTCTCCTCTGATTTCCTTCTCTCACCTAGATACTCCTTCCTAGATCCTCTCTCCAAGATCCTTTCTCCTCTGATTTCCCTCCTCTCTCCTTGATCCTCTCTCCAAGATCCTCTCTTCTCTGATTTCCCTCCTCTTTCTTAGATCCTTTCTCCTACACCCTGTCTCCTCTGATTTTCCTTCTCTCTCCTAGATCCTTTCTCCTGGATCCTTTCTCCTCTGATTTCCCTTCTCTCTCCTAGATCCTTTCTCCTCACATTTTTATCCTCCCTTCCAGATCCTCTCTCCTATATCCTCTCTCCTCTGACTTCCCTCCTGTCTCCTAGATCCTTTCTCTTCTGGATTCCCTCCTCTCTCCTCGATCCTCTCTTTTAGATCCTGTCTCCTTGATCCTCTCTCCTAGATCCTTTCTCATCTGATTTCCCTCCTGTCTTCTAGATCCTCTCTCCTATATCCTCCTTCCTAGATCCTGTCTCCTAGATCCTGTCTCCTCTGATTTCCCTCCCCTCCTCTAGATCCTGTCTCCTAGATCCTCTCTCCTAGATCCTCTCTCCTCTGAGCTGTGTCATTAAAGCTTTGAGAGCGCCACCTAGCAAGGTGGCTCTGTAACTTCTCTCAGTCTTGAAGGTCTTGGGTTTGAGTCAAAGCTCGCGTGTTTGCCTCGCCTCGTTGACTCTGCCCCCCTCTCGGTTTATCGGGTTCCTGGTCCGCTTCCTGTCTGAGCGGCGGCCGTACTCTGTGATCATCCTCAGATGGTTTTTTAAAATGTTTTCTTTTTCATCCTGAAGAGTCGAGTTCACGGCTGACAAACAAACATCAAAAACTCCGACAGAAGCTCGCTGCTCACTTGACTGTCAGCTCAGCTGTGTGTTCACACACACAAACAAATACACACAAACAAACATGCACACACCAGTCTGAAAATTCCCTCTGAAGTCTGAGCGATCAAAGTGAGGAAACAGTCAGAGGTTCATCGCTCTCATTCAGCCGACAGAGAACATGAAAACAGCTTTTATAAACTGACACTGAGATTTCAGACCCTGGAGTGTCACTGAACGCACCACCAGAAGATGTCACGTGTTAAGGGTTCAAGAAAGATGCCTTGAAGGTCCTTACACACTGGGGCCGACGCGAATAAAGAACGCAAAAATACGAAATATTCAAGCCCGATGCGATTTTGCAACTTTTCAGCAAAAAAGACGCACTCCGGGAAGACCTTTCCTGGGGAAAAGGTCTTCTCCTTTTCCTTCACCTCTGATTGGCTCAAAAAGCTGGAAACGTCATCACACGCTCAGGCCAAACGGTCAGCACTTATAGCCAATCAGAGGCGAAGGAGGGCGGGACCTTCCTTTAGCATAATACAGCGTCCCGGGTGGAAGTGAGAAGACAAAAATGGAGTCTACTTCAGTGATGGCGAATTGGTACTCCTTTTGCTTTCTCAAAAGAAAAAGAAACGTAGCACATAAGTGCATCCAATATTACAAAAAAGAAAAAGGTAAGATAACACTTGTTTAAAATGTACCTATTTAGTGAGAGGAACGTCACGTTTGTTTGTTCACAGTTCCAGCTGTACAACAAAGACATTTAGCAAACTGTTAAAGCACACAAACCATCATCGAATAAGTAATCCAACGCTATGACTCTCCACAAGTTGTCCTTCAGATCATTATCTTTGTAATATTTGTGTCTTTTATCAAAAAGCACTCTGTTCCCCGACACGTAGACAATCAGCCAGTCGGCCATGTTGGATATACCGATGAATCGGATGTCGCAACAACACGAAATCTGATTGGTCAGAAGTGGACATACAGTATGCAAAACTTTAGAAAAATCGACGTGATCCGAAAAAATAAATGCCGCAATATCGCAGGACGGGAAAACTTTGCTGATGTAAATGTTTGTATTGACAGGATATGGGTTCGAAAAAAAATATCGATGTCCGAAATAATTGCATGACAAAAACGATCCCGGTGTAAAAGGACCTTTAATTTTAGAATAAAATCAGAATTATTGATTATAAAAGCAGCTGAAAGTCTCTGTTTGGTGTCTGCGGGTCTGTTTAAGAGGACAGGCTGTGTAAAAGGTAACACCCCGCTCCCATCTCCCATAATCCTCCATGTTTGGTCCAAGGGGATAATGAGTCTTTACTGTAAGGAAGTGTTGAGTTTTAATTCAAAAAGAGCTACAGTAAGTTCTTCAGTGTGAGCTGGATTTTGAGAATAAAAGTTTAATTTTTATGTAACTTCATCTTTAACATAAAAAAACAAAGCTGAGATTTGTTCCTGAAAACACCGACAAACACGTCCTGGAGAAGACAGAAACGAGTGTTGAGTAAGTGTGAATTTAGGAGCGAGAAGAAGGAGAAATGCAAATAAAATTCAGCTGCAGGAAAAAAAGAAAAAGAAGAAAATTCATGTTTTTATTAATAATTCAACAGTTTTTGTTCGTTTTTAAAATTCATGATCAGATTTGTTTTCTTCCAGGAAGCTTTTAGAGGCAAAGAGTCAGAGTGCTGCAGTGAACGCCTTCGTGGTTTCAGCTACATCCTCTATCTACACACTCATATACACACACATGTGCACGCACACACACGCACGCACATACACACCAACAGGCTAACAGCTGTAGAGTCAGTGGTCTTACCTCCCTGAAGCAGAGTGACTCAGTGTTGGAGAGCGGCGCTTCAGTGGCAGCCAAAGAACCAACCAGAGAGCGTGCACACACACACAAATACACAAATACACACACACACACACACACGCACGCACACGCACACACACACACACACACACACACACAAACACTCTACCCACCATGAGTGCAGATTAAATTGATCGCCCTGCGGGATCACAACATGACTCACCATTATTCATGAGCGCCCCAGTGATCTCTGTGTGTGTGTGTGTGTGTGTGTGTGTGTGTGTGTGTGTGTGTGTGTGTGTGTGTGTGTGTGTGTGTCCAATAAAGGTAAAAGCTCACACACATCTTAAGTGAAGCTGAAATAATGTTGTTTTTTATAAATAAAGGACAGAGACCGATGCTGTTCTTGTCCTAACATTATCCATCTGATGCTTGATGATGTTGCTAGGCAACAGGAACTTCCTAATTACAGGGAACTAATATCTATGCAGCGATATTAAACAGACAATCACAGTTACTGAACTCTTGAATAAATCCAGTTTGGTTCTGGTTTGGAACAGGTGTCCTGATGGAGGTCCGGGATTCATGTTTTCAGACTAAATCTTCATTGAAGTTCAGGAGATGGATTTAGATTAACTAAAGACAGAGAGTTAGGATCATCCTGAACTCATGTTTAACATCTAACCCAGGATTTCCACAGCATCTTGGACGGCGGCGATTTTCGCCATACACCAATTCCAAGCGGATCTGTTTGTGAGGCGAATTTCGTGACGGATTATGGACAGCATATACTCACAAGAAGCCACAGATTCACGTTCGATCACGCGATAACTAGTTGTCTCTATAAAGACAGCCACATACATATAAGCAGTAGATTGTGTCCTTCCAGAGGAGGAAATCTACTTCTAGACTTCTAGAATCAGCATCTCCTCATCCATGGTGTCATCGGGGTGAAATGACGTCTAAAAACCTTTCACTTGTTTGTCTCCACCCGTTTGCATGGTGTGAAATACGATCCGCCTGAAACACGGGGTGTTTTATTTTGAAAAGAAGCTGGATGTTTTATTTTGTGTCTGTGCCTGACTTCCTTTCCAACACAGGTTGGTCTGTGCTGAATTCACCCGGCATGCTCCAGTGTCTGGAAAAAATAGAACTCTTGCGATCTGCAGAGGGACGGAAAGAAGCCGGTGGAAATTGACACGTCAACTTGAATGGTGACGATCAGCTACGATTGGAGGATACAGCCTTTTCGTAGCTGTTCGTAACCTTGAGATGTTGTTTTAAACTGAGGATGCAGCATCTATGATTTCCAGTTCTTTGTTGAAAGGAAAACTGGACTTACTTGGGACGTCTCAAGTCCAGTTGTCCTTTCCAAAAGAGGGTTAGATTTTGAAATTGATCCGCAGAGGAACGGAAAGAAGCTGGTGGAAATTGACACGTTAACTTGAATGGTAACGATCAGCTACGATCAGAGGATATGACCTTTTCGTAGACGTTCAGGATGAGGTGGAAATTAGGGGTAAGTGAACCAAAATGATCTCTGGGGTTCCACAGGGTTCAGTTCTCGGTCCTCCTTGAATTTGTGTTTTTATTCCTCAGACTTCTAAAAAAGACCAAAAAAACACAGACAAAACCAACAAAGAAGAAGAAGAAGGAGAAGAAGAAGAAGGAGAAGAAGAAGAAGAGCGCAGATGTAAACAGTTTTAAATAAAGAGATGATTAAAGTTTGAGACCATGAAGCTGGACTTTTCATAAACTTTGTTCAGTTTTGGTTTTTTTTAAACTTCACTGCAGACGTCTAAACGTTGTTGAAGTTTGTGGAGTTTGTTATGGTTGAACTTTCTTCTCTGTTTTGATGGTTGTTCTTGTTTGCCTCAGGACAGTCCGTCACATAAATATCTTTGAAATGCTGATTTGAGGAGATCTGAGGTCGGATCAGAAACCTAGCGATTTGTTGCTGATGTTTTTGTCTCTTACATCAGGAAAACCTCTGACCTCTTTTGCTCACAATGGAAGAACCCTCAGACTTTAAACCATCCAGAGTCCTCAGACTTATTTGTCAAAGTGTAGTCTCTTTAAACTCGTCTGTGTCCTCCGTTTGTCCTCGCTCTCCTGCTGCTGTCTCCTCTTCCTCTGACTGAGACAAACAGCTCTGTCAGCAGCTCTCCCACACACTCCTAAACACAGAAAATAAAGCATATTTAATATTTGAAAATCACCGCAGAGGATTGGAGCTGATCGCCGCTTTCACAGCCAAACCCTGCAGCAGTCCGCCGAACAGAGGAGGAGTCTGTTTCATGAGCGAACTCCTGCTGAGAGGAACAGATCTGCTGTGAAAAATACAAATCAAAGAGCGGCATGCATCATCCGCAGACCGCTCTGATGGAGTCCAATGACACAAATCCGCGCAGAAAAGGTTTTTAGAGAGTCCACTGAACCAGGTGTCTGTCCACAGGTGTGTGTAATAAAAAAAAAATCGAAGACTTTATGAAAATATTAAATCTGATTTTCAGGATTACCTGGAAAAATTATGACAGAGTAATAGGGCCACATTAAGAAAAAAAAAGAATTATAAAGACTTGGAGATTACAGTCATTACTAACGAGAATATTCGAGAATATAATGACTTTATTCATGTAATACATGAATTCATTACAACTTTCTTCTCGTGAATAGTTACTTTATTGTGATTTTATTCTTGTAAGAAATGATTTTTTGAGACTTTATTCTCGTAAATAATGATTTTACAATGACTTTATTAACGTAAATAACGTTTTTATTACAACTTTATTCTCGTAAATAATGATTTTACAATGACTTTATTCTTCTAAGAAATGATTTTATGATGACTTTATTCTTGTAAGTAACAATTTCAACTTTATTCTCGTAAGAGAATTTTTTTTCTCGTAACTATTTTATTGAGACTTTATTCCCGTAAGGAATGATTTTATACGACTTTATTCTTCTAAGAAATGATTTTATAAGGACTATAGTCTTGTAAGTAATTTCATTACGACTTAATTCTCATAAGAAATGATTATCCCACAAATTTATTCTTGTTAGAAATGGTTTTATTACAACTTTAATCTCATAAATCATGATTGTATTACGACTTTATTCTCAAAAGTAATGATTTAATCACTATTTTATTCCTGTTTATAATGATTTTATTTCGACTTTATTCTTGTAATTATTTTATCGCGACTTTATTCTCATAGGTCATTCTTTTATTACGACTTTATTCTAATAAATAATGATTTTATCATTAACTTAATTCTCTTGAGAAATTACTTTATTACAACTTTATTCTTGTAAATAACAATTTTATTACGACTTTATTCTCATAAATGATGATTTTATGATGACTTTATTCTCGTAAGAAATGATTTCATTACAACTTTATTTTCCTGTTATGATTTTATTATGACTTTATTCTCGTAAATAATTATTTTATTACAACTTTATTCTTATTTGTAATGATTTTATTACTACTTTTTTGTCCTAAATAATTGTATTTATTACAACTTTATTCTCGTAATTACTTTAGTATGACCTTATTCTTGTAAAAAATTGACTTTATTAATACTTTATTCTTGTAGGTACTTGATCACGACTTTATTCTTGTTAATAATTAATTTTATTACAACTTTATTCTCGTAATAATTGATTTTATTACTTTATTTTTGTAATTACTTTATCACAACTTTATTCCCATAAATAATTTATTTTATTACAACTTTATCTTTGTTGGTAATGATTTTATTAAAACTTTATTCTCATAAATTATTGATTTTCCTACGACTTTATTATTGTAAATAAAGTTTTTTTTTACAACTTTATTCTTGCTAGTAATGATTCTATTATGACTTTATTCTCGTTGGTAATAATAAAATCAGTAACGATTTTATTACGACTTTATTCTCATAAATTTATTATGACTTAATTTCACAAATAATGATTTTATTAATCCTTTATTCTTATTACTTTATTATGACTTGATTCTCCTAACCAATGTTTTTTACAGCATTATTATCATAAATAAGGATTTTATAACAACTTTATTTTCAGTAGCAATGATTTTTTACGACATTATTCTCTTAAATGATTACTTTATTATGACTTAACTCTTGTGAGAAATGATTTTATTACAACTTTATTCTCGTAAGTAATTACTTTTATCTAGAAGTCTTAATTTTTGTTTTTCCTTAATGTCGTCCTTATACTCTGTCGTAAAATATAAACTTATTTTAATTGTTTTTTTTGTCTGCATTAGTATTATATTCAGGTTACAGCTTTAGAGATTACACCCACTTAAACAAGAGTTAAAACACAGACAGGCCCTTTAATTTGGTATTATGATGATAAAATACTGTCTGACTGATTCAGGACATGTTTTTAAAAAAAGTGTGTGTGGTCCTGAAATAACGCTGAACAAGACAGGGAATCAAAATGATCACCGGAGTTCCCCAAGGCTCGATCTTCGGTCCTCTTTAGTTTCTATCAGGACTCACTGGTCCAGCTGATCTTCTCCTTCAGACAAACATGGATCATAAAAAATGAAGAGGTCGGTCCGTAAATGAACAGAAGATCACCCCTCCTCATTCGTGTTCATCCCACGTTTAAGGAACTTTGTTTAGTCTCCAAATTCAGCAGCAGAGAAAATAAAACAGGACGAGTCTTTGCTCAATAATTACTCTGTTTCTCTCCCTCAGGGGGAAAACCATCCAGCCAGTCGTCTGTGATTCTGTGTTTGTGTGGTTTATAATCCCATCTGTCGGCCGAGCTGTCACCTGCAGCAGATACAGTGGAGTCATAAACAATAAGTGACGGAGATATCAGAGGAAGACAAAAAACAAACAATAACTACAGAGTTACAGTTTCACTCCGAAACACAAATCAGACAGAAGACAGAGCGAAATATGGAGTTAGTTTCTGCTGAGGGGACAATGTCAAGATCTGGATATACGGATCCACCCAGAGGAGAACAACAACACCTCCTCAGAGAGATCTGACATTCACTCTGGATCTGGTCTGAAGTGACTGGTTCTGAAGTGATAGTGGGTCTGAAGACGGAGAATAAGAGATAGAAAACAAACACGGACCAAAGCTCAGAGAAACTCTCAACAGAGAAGAGATTTACAGGCGGGGTTTAAGTTCATTATGAGTTTAAACTTCGGAGTCGGAGTTAGTCAAACCGTCTACATCAGGACCCTAAAAGTCCAGTTTCTGTTCTGAAGGGTACTGTTCAAAGGGACTCAGTAGACCAGGATCTCCTGTAAATAAAAACCACTTAAAATAAAATAAAACCTTTAAGGTGCTTGAGAGATTTAAGTTTGTAAAGCCGAAGGACAGTCCAGTTTAGACATCGATCCGTCCATCACAAAGTTGAGAGACTCTGTAATCCCCCCCAGCAGGGGGCGACCTTCTGCAGGTGTGTGAAGGTGTGTGTGTGTGTGTGTGTGTGTGTGAGCGTGCTGATAAGCTGCTTCCTGCGCAGACCGACGGGGTGAGCGAGGATTTTTATTGGAGTCAGCAGACGACTGAAGGGATGAGGAGCTGATAACCCGCAACAGACAGGAAACACACAACTTAGTGTGTATCAAGAAAGTGTGTGTGTGTGTGTGTGTGTGTGTATGTGAAAGGAGGGATTAAGGGCAGAGGGGGGCCAGGATGGAGGGAATATCTGTCTGGGTGAACTAATACGCTGGAGGTTAAATGAAATGATCGACTGAGATGGAGGGAGAAGAAGAAACGGCCGAGGGGACGAGGAAACATCTGAGGTTCTAATCCATGAGTGTTTCAGATTAACAGCAAAGACGGCGAGAAGAAAACCGAAGATCAGAAGATCAAGTGTCTTCGATTGAAGACGCGAACTATGTCGGGTTTTTTTTCTGAGCTTCGTGCATTTAACTGTGAAATAATTGAATTAATTCAACATTTCACATCTTCATTTCTGTGGAAATGATGTTCACCTCAGTACAGAACCTGGTTTATGCTTCACTCAGTGCGTTTACATGCACAGTTTAATTGGACTAAGCTCATAATTCGTTTTTTTTCACTGAATCGCACTTGTCTCTTTGTTCTCGTATACATGCAGCTGAGAAAATCGAATTATTGACGTGAACGTGTCCTCCTTCCCAAAACTAGGGGGCGGTATGGGTCTTTTCAGAGGCGCTGTTTCCGACCCCATACAACCATCAACAACAACAGCAGGTCCGTGCCAGACGTCAGAAGTGTCTACAACTGCTGCTGGGCATTTGGAGTGAAAAGATGGAGGATTGTACAGCGTTGATTTTGTCCTACATGATGGACGCGTTACTTTTTCTGCTGATGAGATGAACGCTACTCCTCTTTTCTGGTGTTTTTGTTACGGGGTTACGGGGCGTGGCGCAGGCATACATGCATTGTCCGATCATACTCCAACTACGCTGGTTACATGGTAGAAAAAAAATCGAATTTCAATTGCATTATCTGGGTGTCTTAATCGGAGTTCTCTGACTCCAATCGGAGTTCTCAAACTCCGATTATAGTCGGACTAAGGTGTTTACATGCACTTCAGTTGTCTGGTCTAAATCGGAGTAAGGTGATAATTCGGCTTTCTTCAGTGTCATGGAAATGTACTGAATGTGAGTCTGCAGAGCTCCGTACCTGCACAGACTGCTGGACCTCAATGATGTCACATGAAAAACTGCAGAGGAGGAGGAGCTATGTCAAGTTGGGTTGAAGTAAGTCTTACTTTGAGGTTGATCACGGATTTACTGATGCGAACATGAAGAAGACGCCTTCATCTACAGACGGAGTGACAGCGTTACTCTGTCTACAGAGCGGTATGGTCAGGTTCTGGACCTGCTGCGTCCGTCCTTGTTGGAAACTAGAGCTGGTCTGGACTCTGGGAGGAGGTCGTAGTGTGGTCATAAATATGTGGCGCTCTCCTGCTGAAAGATCGACGGTGAGTCAAACATGAGTATTCGGTTCAGATCGTCCCTGA